GTTATCAATAAGATATTCAGATCAAATTTCTTAGCACCACAAAATGATACTTGGTTCTGTATTCTCAAAAAGGGGTGGTACTGGAAGAGGATAGGGGTTGGAAACAAGGAACGGTGCTCACAGGTGGGTAGAGGGCAGAAACATGGGGTGACTCGGAAGGGGGGAGTTCCTGCAGATATTCTCTGAGGAAAAAGCCCTAATAATTACTATAGTACTATCTGCACCTCGTGGTACATTAGCATAACGGTCACTGGAAAGAATGTCCCTTACATTGGTGATCAGTGGGAAGAAGGTCCCTTACATTGGTGATCAGTGGGAAGAAGGTCCCTTTCATTGGTGATCAGTGGAAGAATGTCCCTTACATTTGTGGCCAGTGGGCAGAATGTCCCTTACATTGGTGATCAGTGGAAAGAATGTCCCTTACATTGGTGGCCAGTTGGATGAAGGTCCCTTACATTGGTGATCAGTGGGAAGAATGTCCCTTACATTGGTGGTCAGTGGGAAGAATGTTCCTTACATTGGTGATCAGTGGGAAGAATGCTCCTTACAGTGGTGATCAGTGGGAAGAAAATGTTCCTTACATTGGGGGTCAGTGGGAGAAGGAGGAGGACACACTGAAGGAGCTCTCCCTGAGAACCAGCATTTTCAAGCCTGGGCCTTGCCTGCTAGCTTGGCCCAGGAACCATGCCTGATCCAGGGGGAGGCCCTGGGAGGGATTCCCCTGATGAGACCGGGCCTAGTGAAGAGGAGGAGGTGGAGGACCTGACTGTGGGTCCCAGCCCTGGTGAGGATGTCAATGTCTTCAGACAGAAGATTACTGATAGATTGGTGACTATTGGAAGAGCTGAGGAGAAACTTAATGTTTTAAAATCTGAACACAAATCCTTCAGAGCCAAATACTGCCAGGCCTGGAGCAAGAACAGATTGGGCATGAAGCCAGCGCTCCAGCACATGGAGGATAAAGTAAAGAGACAATCTTTATTATTAGAAAAGTTGAAAGCAAGAAGTGGAGCGTTTAAAGAAAAATTTGATAATGAGAGGAGATTTGCCAGCCAGACATCAGCGAGCTCTGTGGATCAGCAGCCTCAGGTAATGGATGACCCGGCACCATCTACATCAGCGTCTCTCCCCCATGTCAGGCTGAGGAGTTGTCAGTAGCAACCAGCCAGGGGGTTGAGGGTGAATATGGAACCTTGAAGTTCATCCAGCACATGGAGTCTCCCCTGAGAGCAGACAAGTTTGCCTTCACTGATGACCCTGCAGAAGTCCCTGAGGATGGACAGAGGAGGTTCAGAGCAGCAAAGCCAAGACTGGTGGAGAGATCCCAGTATACCAAGATGGCTGCTCCCAGCATGTCTGCCCCACCTGCTGCGGTGAGTACTGTGGATGAGGAGCTCTGCAGGCAGCCTGCTGTGGAGGAATCCTCATCCAACATGGAGGAAAAATCCCTGGCAGAGAGGTCTCCAGACCATCAGGGGAATGTGGGTGAACCTGCACCAAGCACCCCACAGATGGAAATTGCTGCTGCTGTTCCTGCTGAGACCAGTAGTCCCTCTACAGGCAAGATGGCTGCCACCTGCAGAGAGACTGTTTCACCTGAGCTCCCAGGTGCTCCAGAGCTGATTGATGCTGGTGGGGGAGGGGAGCAGCACACTGCACCATGTGGAGAGCAAACAGCACACATGGATGTCTCACTTGTTGCTGTGTCTGAGAATCCAATCCAGTCCTGGGCTGAATCTTCTTTCTTGGAGCAAGAGATGACTGATGGAGCTTCTATGGTTGCAGCAGTGAGTGTGGACATTGCTGTGAAGTCTATGGACTGTTGAGACTGGTAAAGCAATGGATGTGTTGGTGGTGGGTGGAGGTGAAGGGGTTAACATTGCTGACGGAGGTAAAAATGACATTTCTCCCCCTGCTGAGCAGAGAGAGGATACACCATCCAATCCCAGATCTGTGCAATCGGTATCTGCTAGAGTTGCACCAGATGCTCCTAGACATACAAATGTTTCTGCTGCTGGGAGGATTGGGGGGAGCTATGCCTCTGTTTTGGGGAGTCGCACCAAGGGGGGTGGGGGGTAGTGTTGGGAATGCTAATGGTCACAATTTGGGGAGGTTTGGTGGTGGGATGGTTGGTGGGGTCAGGAGAAGGAATGTTGTACAGTTGAAGTGGGAGGGGGAAGGGAACCCACCAGTAAGGGGGGAGGGTGGCGGAGTTGATTCTAGAGATGGGGTTTAAAGCTGTGATGTGTTTGCGTTGATCTGCCCAGTCGGCGAGCTATGAATACGATTGTCATTTGTAAAACTGAAGGCCTGGACCTGTTTTGGGAGAGATATTGGAGGTGCAGGAGCCTTCAGCAGTGGAGAGGTTTGGTGGCAAAGGTTGTTTCCAGACAGCCTTTGATAAAATCGGTGACAATCCTGGTCCGGAATGAATCCATACCAGAGGCTGATTTGGTAGTTTGGCTACGCCGACATGGTGAGGTCCTCACCCACTGCGGAAGGTCCTGGATGAGCATAGGATATGGACAGGGGCCCCTGGACGGTGTCAGTGCAATTGAGGGTGCTGGGCAATGTGGTTCTCAGCATCTTCCCTGCTCAGCCTTTTCTGGGGAGAGATAGGCTGACCATTTTCTATCAAGGTCAGCCTAAAGTTTGTAACAAATGCGGAGAGAAAGGCCATTTTGCATCGTCCTGCACCATCAAGAAGTGCTCACTGTGCCAGGATTTTGGCCATTTGGCCAAAGAATGCACCGAGATTCGGTTTGTAATTTGTGCCAGCAGCTGGGTCATCCATACAGTCTGTGCCCAGAGGCACTACACAACCTGCCAGGACTGGAGGCTGAGCTGCAGAGGCTGGATAAAGAGGATGAGGCAGCTGATGCTAGGGAGGAAACTGTAGTTGCCCCTCCTGTGTCTGTTCCCTCTGTTGTGTCAGATTGTGTTTCCCCCAGTAATGTCACCCCTGAGTCTGTCCCTCCTGTCCCTAATCCTACAGTACGTAGATCCTCCAGACTGGCGGGAAGCTGCTGGGGGGGATGGTTTAGCGGATCTTCCCTCTCGGCCTACTCCACCTCCGGTACCTGTCCCCCGTCAGCGCAAACGTGGTCAGGAGGTTGTGGGGGGTTGCCGGATAGGGGTGGAGCCGATGGGGCTCAGGGAGGGGTATCCATGTCCCATGTCTCACCTCCTGCTGGGGGGGATTCGGCTGATGAAGGGTGGGAGAGGGTGAAGGAGGAAGAGGAAGAAGAAGAAGAGGAGGATGAGAAAGAGCTGTCCTCTCTTCCTCAGAATCAGATCCAGGAGGGGTCCCTTTGGCAATACTTTTTTCAGTTTTGTCAGGTGATGAGATGGTATCGGATATATCCATTTCTCTATCATCTATGGATGAGGGGGAGTCACATATCTGAAGAGAGCTGTTTCGGGTGATGAGAGTGTTGTAGAGGTTTAAGAAACGACTACCCCAATCATCCTGATGGTAGTTCCCACTCTGTTAAAGGTGGCGACCATTAATGTCGCCAGCATTAAATCTGCAAGAGCTCGTGATACGGCCTTATTTTTGCTCAGCGAGTTTGATGCTGAGATTTTATTTTTGCAAGAGACCTGGCTCAATACATTGGCCGATGTCTATCTAGCAAAAAGGGAGTGGAGATGTGGTCCCTCCTTTTGGTCTCTTGCGGTCTGAACCTTGCAGCGGAGTTGCGGTCCTTTTTAAAACCGATATGGTAACGTGCCGGGCGGGTAATTGAGGTAGAAATGGGGAGATGCATGGTCTTAGATGTCTCTGTTAGGGGGCAGGACCTGCGCCTGATCAATATCTATGGTCCCCAGTCAAAATGGGGCAGGAATCCTCCTCACAAAGATCAAGCCCTTCCTTTTTACGTCCCAGCAGGTTGTCTTTGGAGGTGACTTTAACACCATAATTAGGCCTGAAGACAGGAGAGGCTCCATAGACAGGCTGGGTTATGATAGCGTTTTTCTCAGAGATTTGGTTAGACAGGCAGGCTGGTAGATGTGCACATTAAGCACTGCCCTGGCAGCACGGGGTTCACATTTCAGAGAGGGAATAGTCATAGCAGGATAGACAGGTTATTTTTAAAGGAGAAACTCTGCTTTCTCGGCTCCTGAGTTGAAGGCGGTGGAGTTCTCTGACCACTGTATGCTGTCTGTGACTCTGAATGCCTCGGACACTCCACCCAGGGAAGGGGTGTCTGGAAACTGAATTCGGCTCTCCTGGAAGATGTAGAGGTAAGACAATCCTTTGAGGATTTTTTTCAGGCACAGGTTTCTATTCTGGATTTTTGCAGCAGTAAGTCAGAGTGGTGGGAGCTTGTGAAACAAAGGGCGATTGGACTTTTCAAGGCCATAAGTAAGAAGACAGCAGCTTGGTATGTATATTGCCTACCAGCATTTGCGGAGGAAGCTTGATCGTCTTGTCTCGTATGGAGGAGATCCAGGGGAGATCTCTGAAGTGAAACTTTTTCTTAGGAAGTGTCAATACGACCGGCATGCCTCCTTGGTTCTGGAGAGGGATTATGGGAATATCACTCACCTGATCCTTACCAGAACTGTAAGCAAGGCATAGCAGTTAAGACGGTCATTGGCCTGAAAGGACAGTACGGGTTCCCTGATAAAGTCCAGATCAGGGATCTCTTGGAGATCTTTGGGTCGTATTATGCAGACCTCCTGGGAAGAAAGGACCTTAGCCGGGACAGGATGGAAAGCTTTCTGGATTCTACTCCAGGATTGGGAAATGGTGCATTGCTTTTGATGAATTTGACAGAACCAATTTCAGCGGATGAGGTAGTTCATGCTATAGACAAGCTGGCTACCAAAAATCGCCTGGGCCAGATGGATTGACAGCTGAATTTTACAAGTGTTTTAAGTCCATTCTGGCTCCCTTTTTAGCGGAGGTTTTTAATAGCTGTCTAGAAGAGGGTTCGCTCCCTCCCTCCATGAGGCAATCTGCTGTGATTCTTCTGTCAAAAGGTAAAGACCCCTCAATGATTGAGAACTGGCGCCCCATCAGTCTTCTCAATGTTGATAGAAAGATCTTGGCAAAGATTCTTTTTTGGCGCTTGTCGTCAGTAGCAGGCGATTTGTTGTCCAGCCATCAGCACTGTTCGGTCCAAGGTAGAAGTATCTTTTCAGCGGTTTTGGCTATCCGGGAGGCTTTGGAACGATGCAGGGCTGCTGGATGGAGAAAGTACTTGCTGGCATTGGATCAGGCAAAAGCTTTTGATCGAGTGAATCATGAATATCTGTGGTTGCTGCTTGGTAGATATGGCCTGCAGGGGAGGTTTATAGATTGGCTGAAGACATTATATAAAGGGGCTGAGAGCTTCCCACTTGTTAATGGTTGGGTTGGGCGGCCTTTTGAGGTCGGCTCTGGTGTGCGCCAGGGATGTCCTTTGAGCCCCCTGCTATATGCTTTCGCAATCGACCCCTTTGTAAGAAGGCTAGAGGGCGCATCGTTGTGCGGGGTGCCTCTGGGCATTGCTGTTGTGCCGCCTTTGAAGGTCATTGCCTATGCTGATGATGTGTCTGTTATTATCTCTGGGACTGAGGAGGCGCAGGAGGTGGTCTCTGTGATAGAGCAGTACACGGAGGCTTCTGGCTCTAAGTCAACCATGAAAAGAGTGAAGTTTTCTGGATGGGTGAGGAGGGTGAAAGCTTCGAACTTCCGGATGCCTTCCCAGACCCCCGGAAGGAAATTAAAATTTTGGGCATCAAATTTGGTCCTGGTGACTATGGTCATCGAAACTGGGAAAGCAGGTTGGTAGTTGCCAATGCCAAAGTAGCGAGCTGGAAGAGATGGAGGCTTTCCTTAAGAGAGAGGGTTGACTTGATCAAAACTTACCTGATCCCGATCTTTTTATATGTCAGCTTCGTCTGTATCTTGCCGGTATCTCTCTATGCACGGGTCTACAGCTGTTTTTTCCAACTGTTATGGGGAAATAGGCTGAACTTGATCAAACGCAATGTAACTTACCTGTCCAGGCGGGAGGGTGGCCTAGGAATGGTCAACCCGATAGTTTTCTTTTCTTTGCTCTTTTTAAAGTACAATCTTGGTAATATGTTAGCAGAGACCCCGCCGGGATGGGTGGGTATTTTTCAGTCTTGGTTTAGGCCTTTTCTGCATTGCTGGGAAGATGGCGGCCCAGTGAAAAGTCTGAGAGTCCGACATGGCAAGCTCCCGGCTTATGTTGCCCCGTGTCTGAAAATACTTCGGCAGTGGCAGGTGACAGTGGAGGATATCAGGTCCCTTCCCAGGAAGCTTCTGGGGGAGAGGATTTTGGCTTTTGCTTTCAGTGTGTCACTGGCCTTAAAGGATTGCCCAGGCTCCGTAATGAGGGAGGGATTGCGTTTAATTAACTTGGAGAGAATCCCTTTGAAGTTTAGGGATCAAGCCTGGCTCGCTTTCCATGGAAGGCTCTATGTGAGAGGGAACCTGAAGCACCGCCCTGTGGATGATCGGGATTGTCCTAGAGCAGAGTGTGTTGGTAAAGTGGAGTCTATGGACCACTTTCTGCTCCTGTGTCCCTTTAACATAGAGGTGTATAAAAGGGTGGGGAGGGCTCTGGGCATCCCCTTTCTCTATCGCATGAGTTATGCAGAGTGGGTGTACGGGGCATTCCCAGCTCGCTGGGACTTTGATTTGGATACACTTTTTCTAGTTAGTATAGTTGTCCGTTACTTCACATGGAACGCACGGTGTCAGATTACCATCCGGAAGAAAGTCCTCCCTGTTGAGGTGGTGGGGTTGCACGATATTCTGGGTGAGGTTGGGAAGATTCGGGGTCTTGAGAGGGTCAGAGAGCCTCGGGCGGTTTGGATAAGGGCGTGGAGGAATATCAGACCTGCCTTTGGTGAACTGTCCATCTCTGGGTGAGGGGCTCTTTCCTTATACTGTTCTCTTTCACTCCCGTAGTTTTTGTTGATTAAGATCTTTTTTGAAGAAGGGCTGCATGCATAAGGGGGGTGGGGTGGTTTCTTGACCTCAGAGGTTTGATGTCTGGTGTAGTGATGTGAGTGGTAGTACGATTTATTTCCCCAATTATGTCAAGTTCATTTCTGAGGCGTTTGGTTTTGTCTGACAGCAGAATTTGCTATGTTTATTTTCGTTTTGCTGTAAATATATATAATTTTTTTATATTCTGTATAATATTTTATGTTTATTGATTGCGAGACTTTTAATAAAGAAAAATTGGGAAGAATGTTCCTTACATTGGTGATCAGTGGGAAGAATGTCTCTTACATTGGTGGTCAGTGGGAAGAATGTTCCTTACATTGGTGATCAGTGGGAAGAATGTCTCTTACATTGGTGATCAGTGGGAAGAATGCTCCTTACACTGGTGATCAGTGGGGAAGAATGTTCCTTACATTGGTGATCAGTGGGAAGAATGCTCCTTACATTGGTGATCAGTGGGAAGAATGTTCCTTTACATTGGCGATCAGTGGGAAGAATGTTCCTTACATTGGCGATCAGTGGGAAGAATGTTCCTTACATTGGTGGTCAGTGGAAGAATGTTCCTTACATTGGTGATCAGTGGGAAGAATGTCCCTTACATTGGTGATTAGTGGGAAGAATGTTCCTTACATTGGCGATCAGTGGGAAGAATGTTCCTTACATTGGTGCTCAAAGAGAAGAGTGTCCCTTACATTGGTGGCCAGTGTGAAGAAGGTCCCTTACATCGGCGGCCAGAGGGCTGAGCGCTCCTTCCACTGGTTGTCAGTGAAAAGACACACTGGAGGCCAGAAAGAAAAATGTATTTCTCATTTTTATATTTTTTTCTATAGTGAACATTTCAAGTGTTTCCACTGAACATTACATTTCCGTATTCTAGGACATGATAGACATTTACAGTACACGGTATGACCTCTATTTCAGTTTGGCTGAGCTCTATTACTAACAGTACGGCAAACATTTGTGGTGCCCATGAACAAAGCAAATGTTTTATACATAGCGCCCTATAAGTCAACCAGGAAAAAGCAAAAGCAGAATTGTTCTTTGACCCAAGGTGCAGCCAACATACACAGAATATGTGGGGAAAATCATAAAGAATGTAATTTGAAAAGATCTTCTCAGCACATCATAGGATGATGGTGACAAGTGAAATGTTGATCAGAATCTCGACAGAGGCTCTCTGAAACATGGCTCTCTGAAACTATTACTACCGGGGTTACTGAGCAATCAGCAATTTACAATATTAACAGTGCAATGGCCAGGACAGTGAAATATACAGCATGCTGCATGCAATGCAGGGGCCAGGAGTGTGTAATACATGGTACAGGGTTTCAGAGGTGTATAAGATACAGAGCGCAGGGGTCAGGAGTGCATACTGCACAGAGTGCGGGGGTCAGGGGTGCATAATGCACATAGTGCAGGGGTCAGGGGTGCATATTGTACAGAATGCAGGGGTCAGGAGTGCATATTGCACAGAATGCAGGGGTCAGGAGTGCATAATGCACAGAGCGCAGGGGTCAGGAATGCATATTGTACAGAGCGCAGGGGTCAGGAGTGCATATTGCACAGAATGCAGGGGTCAGGAGTGCATATTGCACAGAATGCAAGGGTCAGGAGTGCATATTGCACAGAGCGCAGGGGTCAGGAGTGCATATTGCACAGAGCGCAGGGGTCAGGAGTGCATATTGCACAGAATGCAGGGGTCAGGAGTGCATATTGCACAGAATGCAGGGGTCAGGAGTGCATATTGCACAGAATGCAGGGGTCAGGAGTGCATATTGCACAGAATGCAGGGGTCAGGAGTGCATATTGCACAGAATGCAGGGGTCAGGAGTGCATATTGCACAGAATGCAGGGGTCAGGAGTGCATATTGCACAGAGCGCAGGGGTCAGGAGTGCATATTGCACAGAGCGCAGGGGACAGGAGTACATATTGCACAGAGTGCAGGAGTCAGGAATTTGTAAGACATAGAGTGCAGGGGTCAGAAGTTCAAAATGCACAGAGTGCAGACGAGTGTGTAATACATGGTACAGGGTTTCAGAGGTGTATAAGATACAGAGCGCAGGGGTCAGGAGTGCATACTGCACATAGTGCGGGGGTCAGGGGTGCATTAAGGAAAGAGCACAGGGGTCAGAAGTTCAAAATGCACAGAGTGCAGACGACAGGAGAACATATTGCACTGAGTTCAGGGGTCAAAAATGTGTAATGCACAAAGTGCAGGGGTCAGAAGTGCATACTGCACAGACAGCATGTGTCAAGAGTGTGTAAGACAGAGTGCAAGGGTCAGGAGTGCATAATCCACAGAACGCAGGGTACAGGAGTACATATTGCAGAGAGTGCAGGAGTCCGGAGTGCATATTGCGCAGAGAGCAGCAGTCAAGACTGAATAAAACTTAGAGTGCAGGGGTCAGGAGTGGATCATTCACAGAGTGCAGGGGGTCAGTAGTACATATTGCACAGAGTGCATAAGGAGTGCATGTTGCACAGAGCACAGGTGTCAGGAGCGCATAATGCAGAAATTACACAGGTCAGGAGTGCATACTGCACAAAGAGCAGGGGTCAGGAGTGCATACTGCACAAAGAGCAAGGGTCAGGAGTATGTAAGACAGAGTACAGGAGTCAGGAGTGCATAATGCACAGGGTGCAGGGGACAGGAATACATATTGCACAGAGTGGAGGGGTCAGGAGTGTGTAAGGCACAGAGTGCATAAGTCAGGAATGCATAATGCCCGGAGAGCAGGGGTCACGCCTGCATAAGAGTGTAGGGGTCAGGAGTGCATAATGCTCTGACTGAAAGGAGTCAGGAGTGTGTATTGCACAGAGTACAGGGGTCAGGAGTGTGTAAGACACAGAGTGCAGGGGACAGGAGTGTGTAAGACACAGAGTGCAGCGGTCAGGAGTGCATATTGCACAGAGTGCAGGGGACAGGAGTGTGTAAGACACAGAGTGCAGCGGTCAGGAGTGCATATTGCACAGAGTACAGGGGTCAGGAGTGTGTAAGACACAGAGTGCAGGGGTCAGGAGTGCATATTGCACAGAGTGCATAAGAAACTGCATAGGGGTCAGGAGTGTGCAAGGCATGCTAGCTTCTAGCATGCTCTTCTGGCAGCTTCCTTCCTGAGCTCTCACGCAATAGCACTTTAGTTCCTACTATAATTTTTTCCAGATCCATCATTATCTATCATAATTATAATCAGCTCCATCTAGTGTCCATGATATGGTATTTTTACTGAAATATCTCAATCAAAAGAAAATACTGTATTATGGCCTCTAGGCGGAGCTGGTGATCATAGGAGATAACTATTTTTCAAACAATGTGGCAAACATTCATGGTTCCCATGTGAATGGTTAAGACATCCGCACAGCAAATATTTTATACATAGATTATAATTATAAATCAACTAGGTAACAGCAACAGCAGAATAAATGCCCATGTCTTGTGACCCAAGGTGCGGGCGTCACACATGGAGTATGTTGGGAACATCATAAAGGATGCGTTTGGAAAATCTCTTCTTAGCCCGTTACAGGGGGATGATAAAGACTGAAACGTCGGCCAGCATCTCGGCAGTGACTCCAATCTGCCCTTATCTGCATTTTGCAGCAGCGTCTGCTCCTAGATCAGAATTCCGAGACAGCCCTCTGGAACACCACCTGCACAATAACCGACTGGAATTAAGGAGCGTTAATGAATAATTAACACCGCCAATTCTACGGGGGCCGGCATTGAGGAACGTGCCACCATTGTGCTTGTTTCATCAGTTCCATTAAGGGACGTTCGTCCTTTTGAACAGCTCAACCTTGCAGTCACTGTCTGT